ACCACAAAGTCCAAGTCAACTCAACTGTGACACCACACAGTCCAAGTCAACTCAACTGTGACTCCACACAGTCCAAGTCAACTCAACTGTGACTCCACACAGTCCAAGTCAACTCAAATGTGACACCACAAAGTCCAAGTCAACTCAACTGTCACACCACACAGTCCAACTCAACAGTAACAAATCTTTTGTGACACAGTGAAGTCAGTTTCGGAAGTATCACTCATCGGCTATGTCCAAACTAATGCATGACTTCAATGTTGTGAAATAGCAAACCAAACATGATGAGATGTGATAAAAAATCTTTTGATGTTTACATCTAGGCACACAAGAATGAAGGGCCATCTTTTTTCATTATATACCGGTACCTATCAAGGATATTGTCCATTGTTTCGGAAGGTACCTCTTTGGAGGTACTTTTTCCTAGTGAGACCTCATCCTGGGTATGAGGTTTTAATTTTTCCTCGTAAGACCTGATGAGTTGAGTAGCAGATGGAATTTGGACTTAGCATTTCAAATGTCCAATGTACTAAATTCGAAGACAAGAATTGAAACTTTTTCATTATGGATGACGGGAATCAAACTAACAACTTTCACATCAGCAGGTCAGGCACTCAAATGATTAGTCCTCAGAACTGGTTGCAGATAGTTGGTTCATTAGAATGTAACATGTTTGGTAAGGCTGTAACGATTCACTCACGTATTCCGTGAATCAAACCGTATCCCTTCATGAATTGAATTTGTTATTCGTGGTGACTAGAAGCGAATATTTACACACAAAAATTAAAAGAGAGTTTTTTTACTTAAAGTCCTCTGTTATTTATCAAAGCAAGATGCAAAATGGAATATATAAAAGTCATGCAGTAGTCTGTTATGTGGGTCATCTACACCTCCACCTCGGTCAAATGGCTGATTGTCCTTAACACTGATAAATTATTTGGACCCCAAAGGCAGCGTTGTTGCAAGCGATCACTGTATTTTTTTGCAACCATGGTTATGCAGTCATGTGTGATTACAAACCCTGTACCTAAAAATATGCATAAGAATTTATTATATGCATACATAGATTTCTTCAAAGACAACACTCTTATATATTTTATTTGACAGTAATGTAGTCATTGGTCATTGTCACCAGGTCACATTTGTGTAAACATGATAAAAGATAACCATTTGGTAAGGTACATCATACCTAGCAGCTTCAAAAACAAATCACTGAGCAACATCAGCAACCAAATTCCATCAAAACCTTCTTTAAGTTAACAGCAGTTTAAATGAGGCTGCTTACTAATGAATATGTCTGGCTTGGATATGTCAGGCTTAGAATGTCCATTGAATATAAGGTGTGTTGATCGGTTAATGAGTATAAACATCTATGCAAAGACTTTTTCTGTTGTTTGATTTGCAAAGATTTCAACAATTTCTTTTGGACTAACAACTTGTTTATTACAATTGAGGAAACATTTCTGTGTAGATTCTAACACCCTTATCAAGCAAGTGATAAAGCTAGCTGCTAAGAATCAACACTGAAACATCACCTCAACTGTAATTAAGAAGTTTTATGTCCATAAGATTTTGTCCTTGTTCATCACACCAACTTCTAAAGCCACTTAGAGAAGTTGCAAAGATTTGCAAAAATATGTATTCCTATTGACCACGTGGGGGTTCTGGCTTAGAACAGATCTCCAGCAACCTATGCTTGTCATAATATGAGTTGATTAAATGGATCTGTTGGGCAGTCTTGGTGATTTTGATAATTGCATGTCATTGTACCGTATGATTATTCACACGACACCACCAAGTTTCCACCCTTGTCGAACTAGGGTGGCTCCATCATAGCTCCACCAGTGGCTATTACGAGTTATGTCCCTTCCATGTCCCTCCTATTGAACAATCATATTAACTTGCATTTGGCAGCACCCAGTCAAGACGATCTGACTGATAATCAACATGATCAAGATCTAAATTAGGGAAGATAATTTATGGATGTGAACTTCTTTATTATGAGGAACACAACATTTCGGAGTATATGCTTACTCCTTCATCAGGTGAATGAATGCTATGAGGCACAGAGCATATATATATGTACCTGTAGGAACAACAATGTTGTGTTCCCCATAATATAGAAGTTGACATCCATAAATTCTCTTCCTTATGTGTATCACTTCTAAATGCCTTTCAAAGACTTGAAGATCTAAATTGTAATAAAACGGGTCTTACCACGCAAATATCAAATTACTCGAGCACCTTGAGATTAAAAACATGAAAAGATTTGGAAAATATCAGTCAAAGCCGAGTTGACAACACATGCTTTGCAAATCCTGCAATCAACCAATATCTGCATGACAGTTTTTGAATCTGATCTCGATATTGTTATGCATTTTGACTGGATTTATTGTCCACAGATTCATTAGTCCAGCCAAATTTTAACTCCGAAATTCCAACCTAGTTTGGTATGGGTGAAAACTGGACATTTATATTAAGTCTCTGGAAGATGTCATATTGCTGAACAATTGCTGAGTGTAGCATTAAACAACAACTGTGAGGGGTGGCTGGAACAAAATGCTTAGTTGCTACCAAGTTCATTATCTCACCAGCCTGCTCTTCTCACAGGGACAAAATGAGTTAAACATAAGATCATTCAAATCTTTCTGTGGCACTATACTCTAGCTAAGGTGGCCATGGCATGCCAGGGAGCAAGGGTTCCCATGAATACCAAGTATATCTTCTTGGAGCGTGGTTACACATGCAATGTACAAATAAGTTATACAAACAGACTATTACCGATCTAAGATTGAAATTGAAAAATGTTGAAATAAACTTACGTTAGTACAAGATTCTGTCCGTTCTATGCCTAAAATAAGCTGTTTTTCGTGTACCATTCATAGAAGTGAGATGGCATTGTGTGTATCCTGATCCAAGCAGTGGACGGTACAGCTCAGTCATCGCAAAGTAGAGCCTCACTCTCATATACATTATTACCCACAATCACTGCAGATGCCAATGTGAAGCATTTACCTTTATTGTGATATACACCAGTCAGAACAATTGAAGAAAATAAAGGGATAACGACAGACAGAGCCAAACTAAAGCTGGCCCACACATATAACACCTTGACATCCATCTGTCATCCCTTTGTGCAGCCCACTCATTAGCTGGTATTGTTGTCCATATGTCATACTCTCTCCATGGTACCATACAGCCTGAATCACAGAGATCACTGTCCACAACTAGTGTAGGTCACTTCAATTCAGAATTATTTTGTCTGTAATTCACATAACAGCCACTTCAAATTTTCCAAATTCTATTCCAACATTAAATCAGTTATCCATACAAATTATCAAAAGCAAAATTGGTCATATTTAAACATGAAAAGATGTGTGAAGTATCTTAAATAAAAGTAACATGGAAATCTGTCTGCAACCTGAACCCTATTTTATAGGCATATTTTACTGTTATGTCAATGTTGCATTTAAGTTTGAATAGCACATTAAGCTGAGCGATGTAACCAGCCATACACACAGAATCAATACACAGCTGACTGAGCTATATATAACCAGGTGTATATAGCATGTGTCAATATTGATCACAACTGGGATCAATATCTGTGACATCTACCTAATATACCTAATGTAAAGCAAAGCTGTGATTGTATGAACAGATATATTGCATCATGATCCTGGTACAACAATGAAAAACAACAGTGTCACTGTCTACTGATATACAACACTCAGTGGTCGCACTCACATGGCAAAAGGCTAATCAATCATTGGGCCACTGTTTGAGATATATACCAAATGAGAAAAAAATTCATTGCAATGTTATTTGTAAGAAGTACCCCTACATCTCTTACTCGTATCATTAACTGTTCAGAGTGTTCAGTGGTCCTTGGGTTGTAGTGATTTACACATTCCTGACCAGCAATTTTTACTCTTGCATATTCAATTTAAATGGTTGATCTACAGCAGATTGATAAACATATAGAGGTGTACCGATAAGTTTCTCTTTCACCCAAGGTTCACAAAGCAACCCCAAGGAACATGATACTTTCTTGACATAAGATTTTTGGTTAATGGAGTTAGAGGATTTAAGTATATTTAAAGCCATATGGTTTACATTACAAGGAATTGCAAGTTACAATGCATCAATGCATCGATGCATCATTCCCTATCTTTTGTCAGTAACGCAATATCAGAATGAATTGGAACACTGTCTAAAAACCAATCTGGGTAAAACACTGCTGAACCGTTACTCTGGTTTTCATTGAAATATTTTACTATAATTAGAAATTTGTTGTAATAAGACCAGGGTATTGGTTCAGCTATACAAATAAGTTGACAAATCTCACTTGTATTTGGTCTTATTATAACCTGAAATGATCCTAAGAACATGACAAGACACCAATAGCCCGATCAACACACTGCCTACAATCTATCCCCTGGCTGTCCCTTCCTCAAGTAGACTGAATAATATATGACCCTCACCATGCTTACTGCAGGTACAGGATGTCAGGAATGACTAATTATACTAACTATATGTGGCATAGCAATTTAACATCATTAAATCTGCTCCATAATTAATAGCCCGCTTTTCATTTACAGACAATAATTGGCATAACATTTAAAATGGTCAGCTTCAGTCAGTTGCACTGAGTATGAGGCTATTTCAGCTATTTAAGTACACATCATTCTAACCTTATTGTTAACAGCAGTGACATCTAAACACATGATGGTGACGTATGTCAAGACTCCTTGATTGCAAGTCTTGAGATGGTAGAATAAAGAACATCTAGTTTACATATTTCACATGAATTCCATCACACAGAAAACTACGTTGTTGTTTTGGTATGATAATCCAATTCCTTGAGAGGCAGAGAGTGCCAATATCTCTGCTTGAAACTGGCTACCAAAATCAATACCTTCCTATCCAAAATGGAGAACATCCATCACAGATCTCAAGAAGAAGAGAGAGTAATACTGCCCTGAAATGGACAAGCAACTCACCAGAACACACAGTGAAAGACCAAAGACCCTTTTCCCTGGTAGATGGGGAAGGGTTAGCTGGACACTAGAACTTGGATAGGAGGGTAGAATGAGAATTACACACACATAGACATGTTGATTCCAGTTCACTCCTTCCTCAACATGAATCCATTACAGATGCAGCAGTCTTCGCGATCAATACCGCACAGCATTGTGGGAGAGCCCGTCTCATTACCACTGCAGCTGCTAGGCTACGGAGCGAGAGTGAAGTTATTATGTTAATAATTGAGCGGTATCTCTCAAACACATGAAAGAACCTCAAATGTAGGACTGATGGGCACACAAATTGATAAGTCACTGGGAACACCAGCTCAAAAGTGTTTGGCTTTCTCAAGATATGAGTTTTACACTCAGTTAACATTCAAACATGGTGGTTAGTTTCAATCAATGATCAAAAACGATGTAAATTAGCAGCTACTAGCCTGGCCTAGCTGTATGTGTGACATATTATAAAGGAAACTGTTCTGGACTGCTACTAGCCTGGCCTAGCTGTATGTGTGACGTATTATAAAGGACACTGTTCCGGGCTGCTACTAGCCAGGCCTAGCTGTATGTGTGACATATTATAAAGGAAACTGTTCTGGACTGCTACTAGCCTGGCCTAGCTGTATGTGTGACATTTTATAAAGGAAACTGTTCCGGGCTGCTACTAGCCTGGCCTAGCTGTATGTGTGACATATAATAAGGAAACTGTTCCGGGCTGCTACTAGCCTGGCCTAGCTGTATGTGTGACATATTATAAAGGAAACTGTTCCGGACTGCTACTAGCCTGGCCTAGCTGTATGTGTGACATTTTATAAAGGAAACTGTTCCGGGCTGCTACTAGCCTGGCCTCGCTGTATGTGTGACATATAATAAGGAAACTGTTCTGGGCTGCTACTAGCCTGGCCTAGCTGTATGTGTGACATTTTATAAAGGAAAGTGTTCCGGGCTGCTACTAGCCTGGCCTAGATGTATGTGTGACATATTATACAGGAAACTGTTCCAGGCTGCTACTAGCCAGGGCTAGCTGTATGTGTGACATATTATAAAGGAAAGTGTTCCGGGCTGCTACTAGCCTGGCCTAGCTGTATGTGTGACATTTTATAAAGGAAACTGTTCCGGGCTGCTACTAGCCAGGCCTCGCTGTATGTGTGACATATAATAAGGAAACTGTTCCGGGCCGCTACTAGCCTGGCCTAGCTGTATGTGTGACATATTATAAAGGAAAGTGTTCCGGGCTGCTACTAGCCTGGCCTCGCTGTATGTGTGACATATAATAAGGAAACTGTTCCGGGCTGCTACTAGCCTGGCCTAGCTGTATGTGTGACATTTTATAAAGGAAAGTGTTCCGGGCTGCTACTAGCCTGGCCTAGATGTATGTGTGACATATTATACAGGAAACTGTTCCAGGCTGCTACTAGCCAGGGCTAGCTGTATGTGTGACATATTATAAAGGAAACTGTTCCGGGCTGCTACTAGCCTGGCCTAGCTGTATGTGTGACATTTTATAAAGGAAACTGTTCCGGGCTGCTACTAGCCAGGCCTCGCTGTATGTGTGACATATAATAAGGAAACTGTTCCGGGCCGCTACTAGCCTGGCCTAGCTGTATGTGTGACATATTATAAAGGAAACTGTTCCGGGCTGCTACTAGCCTGGCCTCGCTGTATGTGTGACATATAATAAGGAAACTGTTCCGGGCTGTTACTAGCCTGGCCTAGCTGTATGTGTGACATTTTATAAAGGAAACTGTTCCGGGCTGCTACTAGCCTGGCCTAGATGTATGTGTGACATATTATACAGGAAACTGTTCCAGGCTGCTACTAGCCAGGGCTAGCTGTATGTGTGACATATTATAAAGGAAACTGTTCTGGACTGCTACTAGCCTGGCCTAGCTGTATGTGTGACATTTTATAAAGGAAACTGTTCCAGGCTGCTACTAGCCTGGCCTAGCTGTATGTGTGACATATAATAAGGAAACTGTTCCGGGCTGCTAATAGCCTGGCCTAGCTGTATGTGTGACATTTTATAAAGGAAACTATTCCGGGCTGCTACTAGCCTGGCCTCGCTGTATGTGTGACGTATTATAAAGGAAACTGTTCCGGGCTGCTACTAGCCTGGCCTAGCTGTATGTGTGACATTTTATAAAGGAAACTGTTCCGGGCTGCTACTAGCCTGGCCTCGCTGTATGTGTGACATATAATAAGGAAACTGTTCCGGGCTGCTACTAGCCTGGCCTAGCTGTATGTGTGACATTTTATAAAGGAAACTGTTCCGGGCTGCTACTAGCCTGGCCTAGATGTATGTGTGACATATTATACAGGAAACTGTTCCAGGCTGCTACTAGCCAGGGCTAGCTGTATGTGTGACATATTATAAAGGAAACTGTTCTGGACTGCTACTAGCCTGGCCTAGCTGTATGTGTGACATTTTATAAAGGAAACTGTTCCGGGCTGCTACTAGCCTGGCCTAGCTGTATGTGTGACATATAATAAGGAAACTGTTCCGGGCTGCTAATAGCCTGGCCTAGCTGTATGTGTGACATTTTATTAAGGAAACTGTTCCGGGCTGCTACTAGCCTGGCCTCGCTGTATGTGTGATTTATTATAAAGGAAACTGTTCCGGGCTGCTACTAGCCTGGCCTAGCTGTATGTGTGACATATTAAAAAAGGAAACTGTTCCGGGCTGCTACTAGCCTGGCCTCAATGTATGTGTGACATTTTATAAAGGAAACTGTTCCGGGCTGCTACTAGCCTGGCCTCGCTGTATGTGTGACATATAATAAGGAAACTGTTCCGGGCTGCTACTAGCCTGGCCTAGCTGCATGTGTGACATTTTATAAAGGAAAGTGTTCCGGGCTGCTACTAGCCTGGCCTAGATGTATGTGTGACATATTATACAGGAAACTGTTCCAGGCTGCTACTAGCCAGGGCTAGCTGTATGTGTGACATATTATAAAGGAAACTGTTCTGGACTGCTACTAGCCTGGCCTAGCTGTATGTGTGACATTTTATAAAGGAAACTGTTCCAGGCTGCTACTAGCCTGGCCTCGCTGTATGTGTGACATATAATAAGGAAACTGTTCCGGGCTGCTACTAGCCTGGCCTAGCTGTATGTGTGACATTTTATAAAGGAAACTGTTCCGGGCTGCTACTAGCCTGGCCTCGCTGTATGTGTGACGTATTATAAAGGAAACTGTTCTGGGCTGCTACTAGCCTGGCCTAGCTGTATGTGTGACATATTATAAAGGAAACTGTTCCGGGCTGCTACTAGCCTGGCCTAGCTGTATGTGTGACATATAATAAGGAAACTGTTCCAGGCTTCTACTAGCCTGGCCTAGCTGTATGTGTGACATATTATAAAGGAAACTGTTCCGGGCTGCTACTAGCCTGGCCTAGCTGTATGTGTGACATATTATAAAGGAAACTGTTCCGGGCTGCTACTAGCCTGGCCTCAATGTATGTGTGACATATAATAAGGAAACTGTTCCAGGCTGCTACTAGCCTGGCCTCGCTGTATGTGTGACGTATTACAAAGGAAACTGTTCCAGGCTGCTACTAGCCTGGCCTCACTGTATGTGTGACGTATTATAAAGGAAACTGTTCCGGGCTGCTACTAGCCTGGCGTAGCTGTATGTGTGACATATTATAAAGGAAACTGTTCTGGACTGCTACTAGCCAGGCCTAGATGTATGTGTGACATATTATAAAGGAAACTGTTCCGGGCTGCTACTAGCCTGGCCTAGCTGTATGTGTGACATATTATAAAGGAAACTGTTCCGGGCTGCTACTAGCCTGGTCTCAATGTATGTGTGACATATAATAAGGAAACTGTTCCAGGCTGCTACTAGCCTGGCCTCACTGTATGTGTGACGTATTATAAAGGAAACTGTTCCGGGCTGCTACTAGCCTGGCCTCGCTGTATGTGTGACGTATTACAAAGGATACTGTTCCGCTAAAACATGTCAGGAGTTCATCCAATTCCTCGAATTGGCAAAGCACAAATTAACCTGAAGCAGGTGCATTAGACTGCTAAGGAAGAAGAAATATCAAGCTATTCAACTGAAACTTGAAATTGATATAATGCACAATGCCATCGGTGCTTCTCAACCTGCTTAAAATCTTAATGTCTACTTGTACACATCTGAACAGTTTGACTGTACTCGTATATAGGATATCATAACAAAAATAATTAAAATAAACTGTGATGTACGCTCATGTTGGCAATGTAATAAAACATGTATATATACATCTAATATATATACAAATAAACATCTGCAATTGATACAACGAACATTTATCCTTGTCCATATAACATAATACGTAAAACATGTCAAATGTATCAAGTGCCTCCCGCTACAAAAATTTGGGATCATACTAATGTTGACTTGTGAGTTTCCTATTTTGCAATGACCGTCAATTTCTTTTTTACGACACCTTCTACCCCAGCTCATTTCATGGTCAGGATGACCTTCCATATCTGTCTGTCCCTTTTATATTACTACAATCTGACACATCATTCACTGTCACACACATTTAATTGATTTAAAGAAGAAATAATAATTTTTTTAATTATTTTTTTTTGGGGGGGGAGAGGGTTGTTCAAACTAGCATGTAACCAAATAAAAAGTCGTGTACAATCAACCTGGGAAAGGGCCACCCGAAATAAATGTATTCCTAGATGAGTAAAATAGTGGAATGCAGAATTTAACTACTGTTGCATTTGGAATATTTGAGGATTTTTACTCTTTTTAAAAAAAAAGGAAATTAAAATAAAAAGTGTGGCGGACTTTGTGATGATGCGGGCAGTACCTGAGAACCAAGATTATTTTCTTTTTTAGCCTCAAATTATTATTTTTGTTATGTCTCCCGCTAGTAACATAGACCCTCAATAAAAAAATTATTACATATAAATTCCATGTCTGGATGGATGTCAGTGTTTGGTTAACCTGGATGGATGTCAGTATTTGGGGAACTTGGATGAATGTCATTATTCGGGGAACCTGGATGGATGTCAGTATTTGGGGAACCAGGGTGGATGTCAGTAGTTTTGGAACCTGGATGGATGTCAGTAGTTTTGGAACCTGGATTGATGTCAGTATTTTGGGAACATGGATGGATGTCAGTATTTGGGGAACCTGGATGGATGTCAGTAGTTTTGGAACCTGGATGGATGTCAGTAGTTTTGGAACCTGGATTGATGTCAGTATTTGGGGAACCTGGATGGATGTCAGTGTTTGGGGAACCTGTATTGATGTCAGCATTAGGGGAACTTTGATGGATGTCAGTAGTTTTGGAACCTGGATGGATGTCAGTAGTTTTGGAACCTGGATTGATGTCAGTATTTGGGGAACCTGGATGGATGTCAGTGTTTGGGGAACCTGTATTGATGTCAGCATTGGGGGAACCTGGATGGATGACAGTAGTTTTGGAACCTGGATGGATGTCAGTATGTTTGAAACCTGTATGGATGTCAGCATTAGGGGAACTTGGATGGATGTCAGTAGTTTTGGAACCTGTGTGGATGTCACCATTGGGGGAAAATGGATTGATGTCAGCATTGGGGGAACATGGATGGATGTCAGTAGTTTTGGAACCTGGATGGATGTCAGTAGTTTTGGAACCTGGATGGATGTCAGTATGTTTGAAACCTGTATGGATGTCAGCATTAGGGGAACTTGGATGGATGTCAGTAGTTTTGGAACCTGTATGGATGTCAGCATTGGGGGAACCTGGATTGATGTCAGCATTAGGGGAACTTGGATGGATGTCAGTAGTTTTGGAACCTGTATGGATCTCAGTAGTTTTGGAACCTGGATGGATGTCAGTATTTGGGGAATCTGGATGGATGTCAGTAGTTTTGGAACCAGGTTGGATGTCAGTGTTTGGGGAATCTGGATGGATGTCAGCATTGGGGGAACCTGGATGGATGTCAGTAGTTTTGGAACCTGGATGGATGTCAGTATGTTTGAAACCTGTATGGATGTCAGCATTAGGGGAACTTGGATGGATGTCAGTAGTTTTGGAACCTGTATGGATGTCAGCATTGGGGGAACCTGGATTGATGTCAGCATTAGGGGAACTTGGATGGATGTCAGTAGTTTTGGAACCTGTATGGATGTCAGTAGTTTTGGAACCTGGATGGATGTCAGTATTTGGGGAATCTGGATGGATGTCAGTAGTTTTGGAACCAGGTTGGATGTCAGTGTTTGGGGAATCTGGATGGATGTCAGCATTGGGGGAACCTGGATGGATGTCAGTAGTTTTGGAACCTGGATGGATGTCAGTATGTTTGAAACCTGTATGGATGTCAGCATTAGGGGAACTTGGATGGATGTCAGTAGTTTTGGAACCTGTATGGATGTCAGCATTGGGGGAACCTGGATCGATGTCAGCATTAGGGGAACTTGGATGGATGTCAGTAGTTTTGGAACCTGTATGGATGTCAGCATCGGGGGAACATGGACGGATGTCAGCATTGGGGGAACCTGGATGGATGTCTGTTTTGGGAACCTGGATGGATGTCAGCATTGGGGGAACTTGGATGGATGTCAGTGTTTGGGGAACTTGGATGGATGTCAGTGTTTGGGGAACTTGGATGGATGTAAGTAGTTTTGGAACCTGTATGGATGTCAGCATCAGGGGAACATGGACGGATGTCAGCATTGGGGGAACCTGGATGGATGTCTGTTTTGGGAACCTGGATGGATGTCAGCATTGGGGGAACTTGGATGGATGTCATTGTTTGGGGAACCTAGATGGATGTCAGTAGTTTTGGAACCTGGATGGATGTCAGTAGTTTTGGAACCTGTATAGATGTCAGCATTGGGGGAACCTGGATTGATGTCAGCATTGGGGGAACATGGATGGATGTCAGTATTTGGGGAACCTGGATGGATGTCAGTGTTTGGGGAACCTGGATGGATGTCAGCATTAGGAGAACTTGGATGGATGTCACTAGTTTTGGAACCTGTATGGATGTCAGCATTGGGGGACCCTGAATGGATGTCAGCATTGGGGGAACTTGGATGGATGTCAGTATTTGGGGATCCTGGATGGATGTCAGAATTGGGGGAACTTGGATGGATGTCAGTATTTGGGGAACCTGGATTGATGTCAGCATTGGGGGAACCTGGATGGATGTCAGTGTTTGGGGAACCTGTATGGATGTCAGCATTGGGGGAACCTGGATTGATGTCAGTATTTGGGGAACCTGGATGGATGTACCGGTAAGCATTTCTTATAAAAAACTATATTCTTTTATTCTCACAATGATGTTGTTAAGATGGAAATGGTCATGTCAGTTGTTTTGTTAAACAGAAATCAGCTTACTGGAAAAAGAATGTCAGTGTTTGATATGTGTACAACCTTGACTCTCATGTTGCATAGATTTATTTCAGTTTTGAGTAGACCGGAAGCAAGTAAGTGTTGTCACAGCTAATCCCTTCTCCACTGTATAACAAATGGGATCCAACCAATTCTTGTGTGATATTTGTAACTGCTACTCATCTGTAAACATGGTGTGATGTCAATGTCCCAGCCCAACCCTTGTGTTTCCTGGCCCACATTAATCGTGGGTGCCTTGGGTGAACAATTTAAGTCACAGCCTGCAAAGGATGTCAGACTATTTTTAACAGCTGATTTTGAAATTTGTCTTCTCGTCATGGTATGAAACTCCCTCTTGAGTTCTGGGGCGATGAATCCAAAGAACCAACCTGTTGCGGTGTCATGATTTTAGGCCTGCCATGCCCAGGTCTCATTGTAACACCCGTGTGGACAATACTGGTTTCATGGGCAAGAAATGACACTTCTGGACTTGCAATACATTAGGGCAACTTGTGATATTGACATCCCGCCCTCTATTGCCCCAATAATTGGCGATTGCGTCTTTTCATCGATATACTGTTTTGGGAGGCTTTTACACAGGTTTCTAAGCTAGATGGCATGTATGAATGTGCGGTCCCTGACATGGACACACATGTGATCCTGTGCGCATACACATGCATCATGCTGTTCTTGCATGTTGTGAGTGATAGGATGTCATGTTAGATTGACGATAGCATATTTCAATGCCATGTGATCACATAAAGTCAAAACCATATTATCTCAAATGTATTAATATTTCGAACTTATTCTCCGGACCTGAGAGACTCACAATTTAAATACATATAAATCTGACTGCTCATCTAAACTTTAAGATAAAAATACATAGCACTATCTCGAACCATTGGACTTAGTCCCAATTTATTTTTATTTTGTACCATAATCACGAAGATGGCATTTGCCAGATTAACAGTATCTTACATAACGTATTTTCTTGAGTATAGTGCGAACTTTTTTTCCAAAAAACACAGCTGTGTAGAAGGGGGTGCGCATTATACACGAATTAATGAGTTTTGATGTTTTTTCCCCCATGGAAAGACATTACCGTGAGCACGTAACACCGGAAATACCATGTTGTTGACTGACGTACGCAAATTAGTCATGTAATTACACTGTCTGGCTATAAAAAGTGTTCTTTGTATATCTGGACTTATGTTTGTAACTTATTTTATTAATCTTATTCAAAATTCCTTTTAATATTGTTTCAATTAATTTCGGCGAAATCGTGTGTGAAGCGATCGAAAGATTGCACAACTCACCGTTATTAACAGCAACCACGATCAGATTACCGCTATTGACGCCTTGAAACGAACTTTAGTTGACAGAGAATGGATACATATATCATAAATGCCATACTGTGACTCGTTAAAAGTCATATTTGTTTTTGTTGGACGATTCTATGTCAACAAGTAAATCTCGCGATCACGTGCACGGGAGCCTTGACGCCGACTGGTCAGACTGGTTCCATGTAAAAAATAATACTCGGCAATAGCGATCAGCTGCTTTGCTTAGGGTTATTATTATTTTAAATAAGATATTGAAGAAATTGGAATATATTATTCCTGATAAAAAAATAGTTTCAGATACAATTTTTGCCGATCCTTGCATTAAAATCCTGTAAAGTTATATCATTGGGTGTGTCTTGACCGAATCACCGGTAGATTCCAAGAAAACGTGTGTACAGCTGATTTCTGTGTCCTGCTTAGTTTACGAGAAAATATACAAGGTAATCTAAATCCCTGGATATAAAACAATGCCTAGCAGAACAAAAAATACAATTTAAACGGTAAATCAACATGTCTGGTGATTCTTTTATCTCAAATTTCGAATTTGTACTGACCAAGTTTCTCATCACCCATTCATTTGCCGAACTTCGCTCAAGGGTTACGGTGTAATTTTTTTTTCTGCGCTTGGTATTCGAAAAAAAAATTCTCCAAAATATTGAATCCGCTAGAGGGGGGTGCGCATTATACATGGGTGCGCACTATACTCAAGAAAATACGATAGTCATGAACAATTCTCCTAGATACATGTATATAGAGAATCTCACCCAAGTGTCTTTTGATATCAAATATATCAACACGAGTTGATAAAAGTGGAAAAATTCCGAAGCTTGCCGATATATATTTGATATCAAAAGACACAAGGGTGAGATTTTATTTATCATCCAACATCATTCTTTCAACTTTTTCAATTTGTAGACAGTAATTAGCAGTGTCTTCAGTGTAAAAAGTACTGCAAACAGCTTCAGTAGCAGAGCCATTAGTGATGTCATTTGATTGTGACGTCATGGTAACCAGTGACGTCACAATGGTCTGCAAAGCATTGTGATGTAATTTCATTGCAGCGATATCTACAGTGTAGATATATAGAATACTAAACGAGCTCCCGTGTAATACCAATTTTATGAAACGAGTGAATAGTTCTAGTATCTGACGAGCGAAAGCGAGTCAGATACCACAACTATTCACGAGTTTCATAAAATTGGTTTTACACGGGAGCGAGTTAAGTATTTTATTTATTACTGGCCATTTATAACGTTTTTTTAAGAATTATACTGTTGAGTGTGAATAGGCTGACACCTACACGATCCACGGCATAATCCAACTGAGTTTAACACAGTAATACTTCAAACACGTCAAAAGTTGAAACGTATGAATTTAAAACCATAATACGGCCCACCTTTAGAATTCAGACGTCCGTTCCACAAAATTATCGTAGCGTTAAGGTTATCGCAACTCACATACTTTAACTTAGACCAACGACTGTCGTTGCGATACAGTACGATCGCCTTGTGGAACGGGGCCTTGCACCTCAAAGTTTACAATCACGTCACAGTACCCGATGACGTAATTTGTGGAATTTTGTTGCAAGATCCATCGGCGAAACAATGCCATGTGACGTCAGCCTAGCAACAAGGTTGCTGGGGTCATCGAGTGTGCATAAACTCCTCTCAGTGATCTATCATCTCCACCAGCAATGTCGTTGAATAAGCCAAGGGATGTCGAGAGCTTTCAATATTTGTTCGTAAAACGTGTTCCGAGAGTACCTAAGCACGCGTTTTGGTATTACACAATGTGTAATACCGCTGTATGTTTATTAAACGGCTGATCTCTTCACGAGCAAGTAATAAATCGCTTGATCTCATCCAAGCATATCTCCTGTGGGAGCCAGTTTTGGATGATAAATTTAGTTTTCCAACACATCTAACATCGCTGTAAATCTACAGTGCAATCTGAACCAATGTCAAACACTTATGTACTTAACTTTTAATCCATAATAATGGTAATCTTTATTGATAAATAAAACATCATGAGTAGACATAAGTAAAAACATGGCAGCACTTCCTGGTTACATCAAAAAGAGCTAAGTTGGATTAAAGGAATAAAAGCCGCATGAAGCTACTCACAATATCCAAGAAGCGAGGAAGCCTGAAGCGAGACTGGCACTTTGTTATTTTGACAAGAGGACAAACCAAATCGACATGAACTTCAAACGTAACATTATCACACAACTGCAATATGTCAGAGAAAGGTGATTGTGAGCAATTCAGTAAAGGACCCAGGCCTAGTTCTAGGGCAGATAACTGTATCCAATGTATCAAGCCTGAGACGCAAAGGAAAGTTCAGTGAACACGGTGCAGAAGAAATATGACACGACACAACTTGGCAGCTAAACCAGAAGGAAGACAAAAGCATCCCTCTAGATACAATGACTACATGGCCAAAAAGTAGTGACAGGGTTATGAATAGCTTTCTTGAATTAAACACTAAATAAAATAACATTCAAGCTTTCGTAAATACCAAAAACATTTTAATTTGTTATCACATACACATGTTGTGTTCTTAATTTCTTGTGTACACAATCATATTGCTATGGATCTGTAACACTGAGAGGGAGAGATAATACTGTCACAAGATCTGTCTGGCTGTCCGTGGCTCGCCATCTTTATTGTGCAAATATCTTGAAGTGACAATACAGTCTCTCTAGGTTCGAGATAACGGGGTTCAAATGTATGTCAATAATAACACTTAAAACAATTTGGCTCAATAATAAAACTTATCTAAGAGCAAGATGAATGCATGACCTGTCACAATCTAAGTCTATATAGCTAGGGCAAAATACATTTTTATGAAACAGTATACAACTTTTGTTCTGCCAGTTCTACCTGTTCTATTTTCATAGTTCAAACTTAAAAACAAAGTATTCCTATTTTCCTTTTATGACAAATAATTCCATTTAATTTCAGCTATCTATTAACAGTATTTAAACTTTTCACTTTGGAGAAAGGGTTGAAAAGGGAAACATACCTTGAGCCTGGAAAGCTATAGGCTGAGATAGTTCCTGGAGCAGAAGTTCTGCTGAGCAGTGGCATATGTCACAAAGATACCTACTAGTAAACTGTACTGATGATTTGTACCAAGTCTTCAACACACTTGACGAGGGGTGGTGAGCCAAACTATGAAGGATGAATAGTACATCCTTAACAGTTTGCATGTATTAAGTACAATACTATCCGTGCTTACAGGCTGCATTTGAACCAAATATACAAGCAGGCAGAATATTACTGCATGCATCTAAGTGACTATAGGTGACTACGTTGATGAAAACAGACAAGGTTGGTTACCACACTGTCATCAAGTATCTGAAAGGGCTCACTCCAACAGCCATCAATGCAGACAGTGTCAACTTTAGGGGATGATGTTCCTTCCTTTGCCACTGTCAAGAGATGGGATGTGGAGAGCCTCGAAGATAAGAAACACCACTCAGGAACATGTTGATAAAATGCATGAGATGATTACAGATGATTAACGGCATCACTCGTCACATATCCAATACAGTAGGCATCTCTCATGACAGAGCTGATAACATTCTGAGGAATGAACTGGGCATGACAAAGGTTTCAGCATGCTGGATTCCATGGCTTTTGATTACTGATCAGAAACAGCTGAGGTTCATCATCACTCGTAAGAATTTAAGTAATTTGGAAGCAGAGTGAGCGAATGTGTTGAGCGATTTGTAACCATGGACGACTGTTGGGTTCACCAGTATGGGTTCATGCAGTGGAAACATCTAACATCTCCTCCGATAAAGAAGTCAAAGTCTGTTCCATCATCTGGCAAGGTGATGGCTTCGTTTTAGATTCCAAAGGAAAATACTTTTATTGGATAATCTGTATGAGAATATTGAGACTAAACATTGAGGAAAACTCACTAAAGGTGTGTTGTTCCACCAGGACGATGCACCTGTGCACAAGTCTGTTGTAACCATGGCTGCCCTGCATGACTGCAGCTTTGAACTCATTGAATATCCTCCGTATTCACCAGATTTGGAACCTTCAGATTTCCACCTCTTTCCAAACCTGAAGAAAGACCTGTCTGGCAAGCATTACGCAAGTGATGATGTCGTCATTTCTGCTGTGGAGGATCTTTTACACCACCAGGAAGAATCCTTCTACACCAGTGGGATCCAGGCACTCCGGCATCATTGGAAGAAGTATGTAGACCTCGGAGTGGATTATGTTGATAAATAATTATCAACCAACTTCATCAAAGCAGTACATCATAGTTAGGGTCAAAACATCCTCTATACCCATGTCATCTCACATACATTCTCAATACCCATGTTCACACAAACACATGCTCTATATCCATGTCATCACACACACATCCTCAATACCCATGTCATCATACACACACCTCCTCTATATCCATGTCATCACACACACACATCCTCAATACCCATGTCATCATACACACACATCCTCTATATCCATGTCATCACACACACATCCTCAATACCCATGTCATCATACACACACATCCTCTATATCCATGTCATCACACACACATCCTCAATACCCATTTCATCATACACACACATCCCCTTTACCCATGTCACCATACACACACATTATCTATACCCGTGTCACCTTACACACACATCCTTAATACCCATGTCATCATACACACACATCCTCTTTACCCATGTCACCATACACACACATCCTCTATACCCATGTCACCACACATGCACATCCTCTATACCCATGTCACCACACATGCACATCCTCTATACCCATGTCACCACACATGCACATCCTCTATACCCATGTCACCATACATGCACATCCCCTTTACCCATGTCACCATACACACACATCCTCTATACCCATGTCACCATACACATATCCCCTATACCCATGTCATCATATACACACATCCTCTATACCCATGTTACCATACACACATATCCCCTTTACCCATGTCATCATACACACACATCCTCTATACCCATGTCACCATACACACACATCCTCTATACCAATGTCCACACACACACATCCCCTATACCCATGTCACCATACACACACATCCCCTATACCCATGTTACCATACACATATCCCCTATACCCATGTCACCACACACGCACATCCCCTATACCCATGTCACCATACACACACATCCCATATACCCATGTTACCACACACATATCCCCTATACCCATGTCACCAAACAAGCACATCCCCTATACCCATGTCACCATACACACACATCCCCTATACCCATGTCAACATACACATATCCCCTATACCCATGTCACCACACACGCACATCCCCTATACCCATGTCACCATACACACACATCCCATATACCCATGTTACCACACACATATCCCCTATACCCATGTCACCAAACAAGCACATCCCCTATACCCATGTCACCATACACACACATCCCCTATACCCATGTCACCATACACATATCCCCTATACCCATGTCACCACACATGCACATCCCCTATACCCATGTCACCATACACGCACATCCCATATACCCATGTCACCACACACACATATATCCCCAATACCCATGTCACCATACACATATCCCCTATACCCATGTTACCACACACATATCCCCTATACCCATGTCACCACACACGCACATCCCCTATACCCATGTCACCACACACACACATCCCCTATACCCATGTCACCATACACATATCCCCTATACCCATGTCACCACACACACACATCCCCTATACCCATCTCACCATACACATATCCCCTATATCCATGTTACCATACACACATATCCCCTATACCCATGTCACCATACACACCTACCCCTATACCCATGTCACCATACACACACATATTATCCCCTATACCCATGTCACCATACACATATCCCCTATACCCATGTCACCACACACACACACATCCTCTATACCCATGTCACCACACGCACACACATCCTCTGTACCCATGTCACCACACACACACACATCTTCTGTACCATGTCACCACACACACACACACATCTTCTGTACCCATGTCACCACACACACACACACATCTTCTGTACCCATGTCACCACACACACACACATCCTCTGTACCCATGTCACCATACACACACACATCTTCTGTACCCATGTCACCACACACACACACATCCTCTGTACCCATGTCACCACACACACACACATCCTCTGTACCCATGTCACCACACACACACACATCCTCTGTACCCATGTCACCACACACACACACATCCTCTGTACCCATGTCACCACACACACACACATCCTCTGTACCCATGTCACCACACACACACATCTTCTGTACCCATGTCACCACACTATAATCAAAATGATATTGTGGCAAGGAAACATGACAGGAAGCTTCAAGCAGCATTAAATACAAAACCATGAACATGGTTAGAATTCCTTCAATGTCCAAACTCTACTCCATCTCAACAGGGGATGCCATTTTCATTGATTATACTTGACAATGGTATGCACATTCAAATTGAAAATATGATTTCATGTGAGGTTTTCATTTGAATGGATGATGGCAATAATTACCACACCGTTAAACCAAGCAGTTTCATCCATATTCTTGCTTTCTGATTTTGTCCTAATCTCTCGTTATGAAGCCAGCATGTCATGATTGCAAGTGGCGAGTGAGATAGATCGTGAGAGGCTCTGCCTTGTCTGGGAAGCGCTGGCTTTACACCTACCTCTGCCTGCCCATGGAATATGGCTGCGATCAATGGTTGCTATGGCTACTCTGACGCAAGTAGACATAACGGGTTCTGTAGAAAACACGTAGAAAAGCCCCTGTTGTTCAGAGTTCAAGAAAAAGTATGGGCAATAGTATGATTGATAGGTATATTGCAAAGCAACTCAAATACACAAACATTAAGCATGCATGATTGAACAAGACTTGGATGTATTCATAGACTTGAACAGTAATGATACTACAGCTTATAAACAGATCACAATCAGCTCAAACTAATTAAAATTGCATGGGTCTAGTTTGGGTAATACCATAGATTGTTTATTCTAAGAGGTTCCTAATGGAATAGAAAGGTTGACTTTCGCCAAAGCCTGTTGTGTTTCAAAGGGTTTCAATCACAATATTGATTCTTCGGTCCAACTAGAGGTTTTGGTGCAGGCTGACACAGAATAATGAGGAACTAAATATTATACCCTGAACTGTACACAACATACAATTATGCCCCCAAGTTATGTCAAGTACATGAGGAGTATGGCGTTGAGGGTAGGTGAAATGGGATTTAACTTTGCGTCCACGAATAGTGCACTTAAATAGGGATGTGCATGTGCATGCCCATGCGCATGTGCGCCTGTGTGTGTTTGTGTGTGTGTGTGTGTAAGATACCATGCTCCAGTTTAACATGAATACCCCACTCAGACACAGTATACTGATTCTGAGCAAACCAAACTTCTTTTAGTCCCTTGATGCCCAGACAGGGTAACAATAAGTACCATCTTTTAATATCTTTTGGTATGATGTGTCAGGGATCAAACCTCGGACCTTCCGCTCTCCGAGCGGACACTCGATCGCTAGACCACGGCGGTAGTCCTATGGTGTTGAAGTCAGGCAAGAATGTAATTTATGTGGTGACACAAGGCACTTACGGCAGTCTGTTGATACAAAGTTAAATGATGTATATGCCTTACAATGTATTTAGTGATACAACAAAATTGTCCCTGTGATCCATGGGGATAGACCCAACATGTCAACCTATAACCTGTTAGGCGACACTTTTTTAATTTCTTGGTTTACGGATGCGCCGCTCTTTCAAAGTCCAAATGTTAAAAAATAAAAATAAATGAAAATTACCCTTTTTTTTATTACAGCCGATCTTTTCGACAAAAAGTTCAAACAAAAAAAGATTTATTTTCCTCGTCGAGCGTAAAGCAAAGGGAAGTCACTCTGATATTTCTTGCTGGGATCCTTCTCTAATACCATCAAAGCTTGTCAACGCAAAGCGCAGTGGTGACCAGTTTAACTAATTCAACACTGTTGGCCGTTCAAAACCACAAGTCACACCGCACGGTAGACCGTCCAAGCCACGTCAAAATAGTTTATAATTATATTAACCTACTTGTCATATCATTCATTTATTAAATCTATCACATTTCACAATGTCTGAAATACGTATTCCATTTGATTTTATCATTTTTTTATCAATAGATTAAAAATATATTCACTTCATATCTTGACACTATTTCCCGCAATGTTATTGAAAATATATTTCTCGGACACACTTCGACAACGGGTCCTCATCGAACATGTCAAACAGCAAAATAAAGACGTTTCACGTTCTGAAACGTCTTTATTTACAAAATAATAAAGTCATCAAAAATATATCTATAAAGTTGCCAAACTGACATCTTATTTATTATTTCCAACTTTTCGTGCGATCGCATATCCTAAGTCAAATGACATCTCGGCTCGGACACGATGTCTTAACCCTCTGGATGCCGAGTTTTTTTTCTGACGCACATTTTCCTACGATCGGAAAAGTGAAGGTTGTGCGAGAATTGCCCTCACACGGCACTGGATCTACCTCTGGCTATAAACTTACGCAGAGGTGGAGAATATTAAATTTCCTATTTGATGGTGTTAAGTTAACTGCAAATATTAAACCGGTTTTAAAGAAATACGCTTCTAAGTGTTGTCCGAGAATTTATTCTGCGTTGAAAAACAGTAAATTTCTCCGCTTTTTATCGCACATCGATAAAAGTACTGTGCAACGATTTTTTTTATTTCGAAGCTTTACGGAAACTGTCAGCGAACAAAATACTGCCTCATATCTGAACGACATAACTATATATCAAATGGAGTTATATGCGTATGTATAACGACATACATTCAATGCCAAAAATAGCATGCTGTAAATGACGAAAACGGATTTTTCTCTATGACGTCAACAGGCGACCGAGAGGTTAC